TCCTCCTGCTGCTCATCCCGCTCGAACCCCTTTCTGCCCTCATCTACCTGCCTCCCCTCCTCCTCCCTTTTCCTCCCTCCTCTCTCCTCGCACCTTTTTTCCCACCTCCGACTTCCCCCCTGTCAGAGAAGAAGTCATGATCATGATACGTGCCAAGGTTTCCAATATTGCCTGCTGTCCAGCACGAGCTCCAAGAAGCCTCCAGAAGTCCTGGATACGGAGCCTGAGCCAATCCGATCAGGACATCATTATGTTCCTGTCCTCGCCCTTCTTCTGTGCCGTGAGATCTTGGACGTCGCGCCTGTGGGCACGTCGGGGGGGAGGGCCAGGGCCCCTTCCCCCCTGACCAGGGGCCCCCCCTCCCCGTTTGAGGGAAAAGGGCGTCGCCAGGGCGGCCCACCTGCGGGGTCCCACGAGGGTAATCGCGCGTCGCGCGCCACGACCCCGCCCCCCTCTCGGGGCTCGAGGACTCCTCGGGGGCGTCTGAGTCAGAGGCCGGCCAATTCGCTCTGTAGTGCCCCTGCATCGCTGCCACGCTGGAGCGGATCGTCCCGCCTCGCTGCCGACGAAGAAGTTTGTTCTAGGGACCTTCCTGGGGCCCACCTGGCGGATCTGTTCGACTCTAGTTCGACCCGCAGGTCCGGGCGTTGTTTTCTTTGGTTCCGGGCCTGGGACCCTCGCAGATCGAACCCGCTCGAAGAATGACGCAGAAGCACGTGGTCTAGGGCTCCTGTCGTGCTTTTCTGAGATGTTACGTCTCTGTTGTTCGGTGCTTGGGATCACACAAGGGACTCTTTAGCTCGACTCGAGTTCGATTCAAGGCGATGGACTTTCGACTAAGCATCGACGCATGAGTGGAGCGAGTGGCTCCAGGAATGTCCCCAGGACGAGCACCCAGTCCAGGGGGGAGGCGACGACCATGGGGCAGGGGCGCCCGCGAGGGCCCGAGGTTGTTTGGGCTTCGCGGTTCCTCGTCTGCTCCCCTCCTCGTTCCTCCTTCTCCTCTTGCTCCTCCTCCTCGTCCTCTTCCTCCTCCCCATACCCCCTCCTCCAACCTCAGGGGGGGCGAGGTCGGCGCGAGAGCGCGAGAACTTATTCGCGCGTCCGCGCAGGACGAAACGCGAAGTTGAGCACCGTTTAGGTTTAAGTCGGGCCTGTCCCTCTACAGGAGACATGTATATATATATAGATTTAAAACAATGTCTGGGGACGTTTGTACGTGTTTGTTTTTTTTGTTCTTGACTATGATCCGTCTGCAGGGGGACACGCCCGACCCAGGTTCAGGTGTGTGTGTGTGTGTGTGTGGAGATCCTGGCATGGGCCATTCTATCGTTTGGATTCCCTGCCCCCCCTCCTTCTTTCAACACGTCCCCTTTCGTTCCCCATTCGCGCACGCGTTTCGGGCTATGTTTCGGCGCGCTCGGGACAGCGTTTCTCAGTAGTCTTGGAGGCCTCGCGCGGCACTCGATAGTTGCATTGGCCATTCCGCGCCTCCGCCCCGCAAGATCTGCGGGGACGATGCTCGCGTGTCGATGATTCGGCATGAATCCGACGTACAGTGAGAACGCATGGTAAGGACGCACGGTTGTCCTTAGTGTACTTTTTGCGTCCTTGCCTCCGAGGCCAGCCCTTCGCGGTTTCCACTTGTCAGCCTTTCGAGGCGTTGGCAGCCCGCTGGCCAAAAAGTGGTTACGTCTTGGAGGGTGAAAGAAGGGGTCTGCAACAGGGGGTCTTCACTGGGGGCTGAACGGCCCATGTATGCTCAATGTATCGCTCATGTCTGTGATCGGGCACGATTGGCATCCAATGTTGGTGGTCATGGATGGCCAGTCGTTCGTGCCCGCGCGTTGCCCGCGCGTGCAAACGCGCCGTCCATCCATGATCGTTCATGCGCGCGGGCGTTTCTTGCACATCGCGCGCGGGGCGGCGAAGTGGAGCGCAAGTGTGTCTTGATTGTGCGATTGATGACCGCGTATGCTCCCAAACGCTGACTTGTCGACCCCTAAGACAGATTTGGAATTGATCCCGCGATTCTCCCACAATCTGAATTCACATGTCCCTTTCTTCCAAGCTTTGAGTTCACAGTTTCCTTCTTCCCAAAAGATGGGCCCTTCATACAGATTCGTATCCAAATTCCCAAATGCAGATTCATTTTTCTTTTTCTCCGAAACGTGAATTCACATTTCCCTTTTTTTTCTCCCCCAACTGTGAATTCACAAATTTGCTCTTCCCCACAATGGGAATTCACATGTTGCCCTGGCCCTCAAGATCCCCAAAACTGAGGCGCAGTGTTCCGCATGTCAGACTGGCTGGGCGGATTCCGGCACTCACCTCACCGCTTTCGTTTTTTGCTTCCAACCTTTTTTTATGCGCCCTCAGCGCACGTTGCTTTCGTCGCCTTTCCCGGACCCCCCGCCTCCTTTTTTCGTTGACCCTCAAGTCTCGCGCGCGGGTGCAGGCGGGGAACCTCAATTTCTTCCCCCGCCGAATACAGCAATTGAGGATGCATCGCCCATACGTGGCCCATAGAGACACCATTGCCCGGACCCTGCGCCCGACCCCCACTTTTCACCCTCCTCACCGCCCGCCCTTACTACAAACTTCGACTGCGAATTGGGTCTCGAGTTGCCGCGCATGGCTTCCCGCATGCTCCTGATGACTCGTTTGCTGGGCGTGCGGTACCTCTGGAGGCCTCCTGGGGGGATTTGCGGGGGTCTCTGGGAACCTCCAGAGATGTGGTACACCCATCGACACGGGGGGGAGGGGCAGCGCGACGGCGCAAAGATACCAGCGCGCACGGGTCGGGGAGCCAACCAAACCGGAGGCTGAGATTCCTCTCTCCTCCAGGGTGGTGCGCGGCGAACCCCACCTCTGGCAGCTTTGACTCCCCCGTTTTGTAGCGCGCGGGCCTCCACACATTCATTTCCTGTTGTTGTGGAGCGCGCGGGTCCTTTTGTTCCGAGCCAGAGGTTTTGGGCACGCGTGCAAGCGAAAGCCCCCCCCGAGATGCGGCGCGAGTATCTGCAGCGTTTTGGCGACGGACTCTTGCCACAATTCTCAGCATTGCCGGATGGTCGTGCACGACGCCGCGCCCCACCTTCAGTATCTGTCAAGAGGGGAAAAACCACCCCGACCCCGACATCTGGCATTTACTAAGCGGCCCTGGTCGCGGACTACACAGCCCTGCGCTGTTCGATTCCTTTCTTGCGTACATTTGCTGAACGGCCTCGCTTGTCGTGGTGCTTACTGTGGGGGTGGATTTTCTGCTCTCTGATTTGCCCGCTTCGCTACTTGACCATTCCCATTTCTTTCCGATCCTCGCCAGCGACGCTTGGACCCTGCGGCCACGTCCGGCTTATCGTGGCTGGGAAGCTGAGCCGCCGGCGGACTGCGCAGGGCTGGCATGGCGCTACTCTATATATCCCATTCTTCCCCCTCTTCCTCCTTCTTCCCCTTCTCCTCCTCTTTCGCCTCCTCCTCCTCTTCCTCCTCCTCCTCCCCCTCCTCCTCCCCCTTCTCCTCATTTTCTCCCTCCTCCTCTCCCTCCTCCTCCTCCTCCTCCTCCTCCTCCTCCTCCTTCTCCTCCTCTTCCATTCCTCTTCCTGATAAGCAACTTCTCCCTGTCGCACCCCGAGGCCAGTTTTTAGTGCGGGCCGGACGTTGCGCCTGAGATTGCCTCACCGTTTATGACCCTGAAATGTGAAACATGGCAGCAGCTTCGCAGATGGAGTGCGGGTCGTTTTCAACATGTGGCTCTCGCCTCAGCGCCGCGCACATTCATTTAAACAATTTGCAAAAGCTTCACGGCTTCAGGGGAACCCGTTTTCAAAATGTGGTTATCGCTTTAGTGTCGCGTACATTCGTCCCAACGTTTAAAATTGTAAGAATTTGACCGATGTATGTGAACCTCTTTTCGACATGTGGTCTTCGCTTTAGCGCCGCTCGCAGTCGTTAACATAAAGTGCACGAGCTTCACGGATTGAGGGCGGTTCCTTTTCAACATGTTGCTATTGTTTTAGCGCCGCCCGTATTTGTTATTAACAGTTGCAAGAGTTACAGGAACTCCCATGATCAAAGTACCAGACATGGTGTCTAGGAAGGACTCAGGATTACGAGGGCGCAACTGTTGCGTCCATTCGCTGTGCTGAAGTCCTCGGAATGGCGTTCTGGCACGGTTCAGGATCGTCAAAAAGCAACAGTCAGGTTGATCCGTGACGGCGTTGGGATCCCGAGAACAATGTTTTGAAATGCGTCAGGGTTTTCTAACCGTTGCCTTCCAACGAGGCAGTTCCCTCAATCGAAATGCACCGCTGTAGGGCCCTTTGAGGAGGCAGCTTGGAGGGATGGTTTATTCCAACATCGTTGCTGGCCCTTGGGTTTACACTGGTCCTCCTCCTCCTCCTCCTCCCCCTTCTCCTCCTCCTCCTCCTCCTCCTCCTCCTCCTCCTCCTCCTGCTCCACCTCATCCTCCTCCTCCCCCCCTTCTCCTCCTCCTCCTCCTCCTCCTCCTCCTCCTCCTCCTCCTATTGGTAACGTGCCTGCATGCCGAGTCGAGCTTTGCGCGCAGAGGCCAAGTGTTGCCCCGCTGTGGAGGCACGTCTGCGGTGACCACGGCCTCCTCGTTTGGCCTGGCCAGATGATGCTGAGGACTGCTCGACCTCACGCGGAGACCCCCCTCACCTTCTCAATGAGAAGCACTCCTCCTCCTCCTCCTCCTCCTCCTCCTCCTCCTCCCCCCTCCTCCTCCTCCTCCTCCTCCTCCTCCTCCTCCTCCTCCTCCTCTCCTCCTCTCCTCCTCCTCCTCCTCCCCCTCCTCCGCCATTGCCCCCTGCCCAGCCAGCGACGCTTCGGCCCAGAGGAGGCGCCCGCCCCCCGCCGCGCCGCGTGGCCGCGCACCTCCGGCCCCCCCACTCGCGGGGGCCCGGAAGGGACGCCTGGCGGCGGGTCTCGCGCGGCCTCGCGGGTCTCGCGCGGCCTCGGGCGCCGCCCTCGTGGAAGGCATGGACGGCGGCCGGTCGCACAGCGCACCGCTGCTGTCGCGGAGCGCGCCTTCGCTGGCGAGGAGCGTTGGAACGCAAGCTGTTGGCGCAAGCTGTTGGCGCTCCACGCCGATTGCTTGGATCCGCGCTGAGACCCCAGGCGGCGCCTCAGGCGCCGTCCCTGGCGCGCTCCGCGCGCAAGGGGGGTCCAGCGCAGATCCAAGGAGTCCGCTCGGAACGCCAAGAGTTTGTGTTCATGCTGTTGTTGTTGTTCTTTTTCTTCTTCTTCTTCTATCCACGCTGTCGGTCGCCCCCTGAAATCCTGGCACCTCCATTGTTTCGAGCTGGGCGTTTCGCCTTGGCGTCGGGCCCTGGGGCCCTCACAGGTCGATCCGGCTCGAAAAACAACCGGGAAGATGGGGTCTAGGGTTCCTGGCGTGTGATTTCTACGATGTGGAAAATGTTGTCGCTGCGTCGGATCTCAGGGTCGGTCGCAGTTCGCGCCTTCGCCGCCGCCGTCGTCGCCGGTGTCGTGGTGGGCGCGGCCGTCGTCGCGGCCGCTGTCGTGGTCGCAGCTCGAGGTCGTGGTGGCGGGAGGGGGAGGGGCACTGGTATAAGAGGGAGGGGGATAGCGGGGAGGGGGAATGGGGAAGTGCGGGGAAGTAAGAGGGTGGGCTCGTGTGGCTTCGGAGGGAGCGGGGGCGGCGGGAGGACTGGGAGCAGGGGGAAGGGCAGGGGGGGAAGAGGGAGGAGGACGGGCAGCGAGGAGGAGGAAGAGGAGGAGGAGGAGGAGGCGGCGGAGCAAGCAGAGAGGAGAGCGAGCGCGGGGGAGGATTGAAGACAATATTGGCTCTGAGCTTTCGGGCATTCTTGAGGGAGTTATTGCAGAACGACGGCGGAGGACGAGAAATAATGTTAGAGGTGTGCGGAGGGTGGAGACGGGATGTGAGTGATGAGCGAGGAGGACGATAAGGAGGAGGGAAGGGCAGGAGGGAGTAGGAGGACGAGGAGGGAGGCGTGCGGAGGACGAGGGCGACGAAAGGGGAAGCGGGATGAGGACGAGGGAAAAGGAGGGACCTTCTCTTCCGTTCGTCTCTGGGGTGCGTTCTGGCCTGGCACTTCTTGACGCTTCGCGCTTCCCTACCAGCTCATCCAGAAACAGATCGCCAGGCGAGTTGCCTTGATTAGGGAAGTGTAGAAGCATGTAGTACAACAGCCGCCTTGGAAGTGTTTTCTCGGAGGTCTGTCTCCCTTGGGGTCCTCGCGGAGCCACTCTGGGCACTCTCTGGGCCCTGTTGGGGATCTGTTGGAGGGTCCATGGGCCCTCTTGGGGCTCTTCGGAAGGGTCTGGGAGGCCTCTGGGGGCCGTCTTGGCCCCCGAGGCTCAAAAAGAGAGGGGTAACGGATTCAGGTCCCCCCCATCGGAGGCTCAAACATGTCGTCTTGAGGCCCTCTAGAGCCGTTCTTGGAGCGCTATTGGGGCTGGCTTGGAGTCCTCTTGGGTTCCTCTTGGGCCTCCCTTGGGCCATCGTGGGGCCATTTTGGAGCATCCGAGGCCGATCAGAAGCGATGAGGCGAGAAGGTAAACATCATCAAACTTAGGTTTTGAAGCCAGGCTGGCCTCTTGGGGGGTCCTTGGCGGGGCCGTCTTGAGGCCTCTCGAACGTGCGTCGGCGGCTATCGTGAGCCAACATGAGTTATCTTGAGCCATCGTGGAGGCAATCTTGGGGTCTCCGAGGCCTTCCTGGAGCCATCTTGACCGACCTTGGGCGCTTCAGGCCAGGCGCGCCACGTTCGGGGCACGTGCAGAGTGTGTCAGGTGCGCCTGCGCACGGGACAGCACACATCGGAAACATGTCGGCCCCCACCATCCTTTTCGGAAGCCAATGCCCATTATTGTGTCTGGTGGGCCTTCGCACAGCAGGCCATACGCCACCACCCCCGCCGTCCCTATCGAAAAGCTCTTGACAGTGATCGCGGGTTGGCCGCGCATGATCCAGATTCAGCCGCGAGGTGCATGTTGTATGTTTTGAGGGATGGCCGGTGTCCCTGCGCGCAGCAGGCAACATGTTGACACACCCGCGGTCTTTGTCAAAACATTACAAAGCGTCCGCGGGGCTCACGAACATAACTTTACCACCCCATAGTGTACTGTTTATTGTTTCGTTGAGAGGGATGGGGGGCGGCGCATCGGGTTGGTGGCGCATGCTCCGAATTTGAAAGCAGAGTGTGCTTCGCATTGCTGTTTGTCAGGGATGGTTGGAGGGGGTTATAATAGGGACGGCATTGTTCCTGGTTGGCTGCCAGTCGCCTGGGGGAGGGGGTGTGTATCATCAGGGTGCAGCAATGAACCACTCCCCCGAGCAGGAGAAGGAGGGATATTGGCAGAGAGAAGGCAGCATTCATTGAATCACCTACGCCCAGAGGGCTGGTGGGATTCCAGCCAAGTCGACGAGGATTCCCCAGGCCCAAAATCGGCGACCAATTTTGATTTTTCGGGGGCACCCAAGAAGGGGGTGATGACCAGGGGGGGGGCTATCATGGCAAATTGCAAGGACCACAAGATCTCCCCAGATCTTCCTGGATGTACAGGCTGACGCCACATCTGCCGACCCATGTATCGAAGACGCCTACGGCGAGTCACCGCCGCCCCCTGCATTTTCGGAAACGCCTATGTGGCCGAACGCTGTGGCCAGAGGCCTGCCAAGCTATCGGACCATGTGTTCCCCGAATCGGTTTGGAAGCGTCTTAACGGCCTCCTGGGCCGTCTTGGGGGCCTCTTGGGGCCGTCTTGGGGGCCTCTTGGGCCGTTCTGGGGCCATCTTGGAGGCCTCTTGGGCGATCTTGGGGCGATCTTTGGGGGCTCTTGGGCCGTCTCGGGCCGTCGGAAGGCCGAAAAGAAACAAATGCCCAAATTCTGCAACAATCTAAGGAACACCAATGATTCTGGCCTCTTTGAGCCCTCCTGGGGGCCCTCTTGGAGGTTTCTTGGGTCGTCTTGGGCTAGCCTAGATCCAACTTCGGCCATCTTGGTGGGCTCCTGGCCCGTCTGACGCCGTCGGAAGCCGTTTGTGGGGCCTCTTTGGGCCGACGTGGGGCCCTATTGCAGCCATCTTGGAGGCCTCGTGGGCGATCTTGGGGGCTTCTTGGGCCGTCTTGAGCTGTCGGAGCTATGGGAAATCAATGATGTTGCCCTCTTCGGGCCATCCTGGAGGACCTCTTGGAGGCCTCTTGGGCCATCTTGGAGGCCTCTTGGGGTCCTCTTGGGCCGTCCAGGGCCATCTTGAGGCAATATCAGGCCGTCTTGGGTGCATCTTGGGCCGTCTTGGAGACATCTGGGGGGGGGGCATCTTAACCGTCTTGGAGGCCATCTTGGGCGTCTCAGAGGCCTCTCGGGCGGTCTTGGGGCCCTCTTGGGAGCATCTTGGGAGCCTGTTGGGCCGTCATGGGGCCATCTTGGAGACCTCGTGGGCGATCTTGGGCGATCTTGGGGGCCTCCTGGGCCGTCTTGAGTTGTCGGAAAGCCGAGAAGAAGCAAATGCCACACTCCTTCAAACACCTATGGAAAACCAATGATTTTGCTCTCTTCGGGCCCTCCTGGAGGACCTCTTGGGCCGCTTCGGGGCCGTCTTGGAGGCCATGTTGGCCGTCTTGGAGGCCATCTTGGGCCGTCTTGGAGGCCTCTTGGGCCGTCTTGGGGCCCTCTTGGGGCCGTCTTGGAGGCCTCTTGGGCCGTCACGGGGCCATCTTGGAGGCCTCTCGGGCGATTTTGGGGCGATGTGGGGGGTCTCTTGGACCGTCTGGGGCCGTCGGAAAGCGGAGAAGGCGCAAAAGCCAAAATCCTTGACAAAACTCAGGGAAATCAATGATTTTGCCTCTTCGGGCCTTCCTGGAGGACCTCTTGGAGGCCTCTTGAGCCGTCTCGGAGGCCTCTTGAGGGCCTCTTGAGGGCCTCTTGGGCCATCTTCAAGCTATCGTATAGGCCGTCTAGGGTACATCTTGGGCCGTCTTGGAGGCATCTTGGAGCCATCTTCGCCGTCTTAGAAGCCTATTGGCCGTCGTGGATGCGTCTTGGAGAGCATCTTGGGCCGTCTTGGAGCCATCTGGAGCAGGGAAAACCTTTGCAACCAGGTTTTGAGATCCTTTCCGGGTGGCCGGCGGGACGGACCGAAGCCCCAGGAGGAGCTCTTTGGAAAAAGGGCCAAAACCAAAACCATATAGTTAGTTTGGCACGCCAGGCACCCCTTTGCTGAAGCAAAAGGGGGCGGCGGATCGAAGACGCCTACGGCGAATCACCGCCGCCCCCTGCCTTTTTGGAAGCGCCTATGTGGCCGAACGTTGAGGCCAGACCTGCCAAGCCATCGGACGATGTGTTCCTCGAATCGGTTTGGAAAGCCTTCGGGGAACACGTGGGCATCTTGAAGGTCATCTTGGCCGTCTTGGAGGCCTCGTGGGCGATCGTTCGGCGATCTTTGGGGGCTCTTGGGCCGTCTTGGGCCGTCGGAAGGCCGAAAAGAAGGAAATGTCAAAATCCTTTGAAAACCATTGGAACATCAAGGTTTTTGGCCTTTGTCCCTGCTTCGTGGAGGCCCTCTTGGGGGCCTCTTGGGCCGTCTTGGGCCAGCTTCGAGCCAACTTCGGCCATCTTGGTGAGTTCCTGGCACGTCTGACGCCGTCGGGAGCCGTCTTGGGGGCCTTTCTGGGCCAACGGGGGACCCTCTTGGGGCGCTTCGGGGCCGTCTTGGAGGCCATCTTGGGCGTCTTGGAGGCCATCTTGGGCGTGTTGGAGGCCTCTTGGGCCGTCTTGGGGCCCTTTTGGGGACAACTTGGAGGCCTCTTGGACCGTCATGGGGCCCTCTTGGGGGCCTCTTCGGCGATCTTGGGGACATCTTGGGCCGTCTTGAGCCGTCGGAATGCCGAGAAGAAGCACATCCCCAAATCCTTCAACAACCTAAGGAAAATCAATGAATTTGGCTTCTTCGGGCCCTGGAGAGCCTCTTGGAGGCCTCTTGGGCCGTCTGGGAGGCCTCTGGGGGGCCTCTTGGGCCGTCTTGTCTTGGGCCATCTTCGACTCTCTTGGGCCGTCTTGGAGGCCATCTTGGACCATCTTGCGCGGACTTGGAGGCCATCTTGGGCCATCTGGGCCTCTTGGGGAGCAGTTCTGAGGCCTCTTGGGCGCGTCCTGGGGGTCCCTCCGGTGCCCCCTGGGGCTTCCTATGCAGAGTGACCTTGTCAGCAGCAGGAACACATCCCCGCGAGGAGCGCGCCCTCGCTCCCTCTCGCCTACAACCTGCGCCAGTGCAGCAAGGATCGCCGGCGCATCGAGCACACCCGGGCGGCGGTCAGGATCTCCCACCCGCTGGGCGAGATCGACCTGGCGGCTCCTCCTCCCCCTGAGATGATGGGTCAGAGCCCCGAATCATCAGGGGTAACTCGGGTCAGGGATAACTCGGGTTCGTTTTTCGGGATTCCGAACCCGAGTTACCCCGGACCCGACTTACCCCGGATAGTTCGGGCGTCGAGAGCCCCGAATCATCAGGGGTAATTCGGGTCAGGGATAACTCGGGTTCGTTTTTTCGGGAATCCGAACCCGAGTTACCCCGGACCCGAGTTACCCCGGATAACTCGGGCGCCCAAATGGGCGGACTTTCCACCACCACTACCATAAGTAGGACAGGGAGGAGGAGGAGGAGGAGGAGGACCAGTCAAACCCAAGAGTCATCATCGGTGTTGGAATCAACACTTTTTTCAAGCTCCCTCTTGACTCTTCACATGCCCCCACGATGGTTCATTGCCACTGGGGGAACTGCCTCGTCGGAAGACCACCGCTCGCATGCCAAAACATTGTTCTCGGGATCCCAACGCCGCCACGGATCAACCTGACTGTTGCGTTTTCACGGTCCTGAATCGCGCCACAACGCCATTTTGGGGAGTTCAACACCGCGGACGAACGTAATTGTTGCACCCTCGTAATCCCGAGTCCTTCCTACACACCATTTCTGGTACTTTGATCATGGGAGCCCGTGAGAATCTTGCAAATTGTACTAACGAGTGTGCGCGGCGCTAATGCAATAACCACATTTCGAAAAGGAACCGCCCTCAATCCGTGAAACTCTTGCATTTTGTTTGAACGAGTGTGAGCAGCGATAAGGCGAGAACAACTGTTAGAAAGCGGGTTCACCTCAACCCGTCAAGCTCTTGCAAATTCTTTAAGCGAGCGTGCGCGGCGCCAAGGCGAGAGCCACATTGAAAACGGGCTCCCCTCGAGCCGTGAAATTCTTGCAACTGTTTACAAGGAGTGTGCGCGGCGCTAAGGCCAGAGCCACATTTTGAAAAGGAACCCCCCTCAATCCGTGAAGCCCTCGCATAGTTATCAAACGAATGCACGCGGCGCTAATGCGAGAGCCACATTTTGAAGACCACCCGCCCTCAACCCGTGAAATCTTGCAAATGTTAACAACGAATGCTTGCGTCGCTAATGCCAGCCATATCTTGAAAAGGAACCGCTTTCAACCCGTGAAACTCTGCAGTGTTTGAAAACGAAGGTGCGCGGCGCTAGGGCGAGAGCTGTATGTTGAAAACCATTCGCTTTCAATCCGCGAAACTTACGCACATGCTTATATCCTATGTGCGCTGCGCTAAGGGGGGAACCTCATCTGAAGAAGGAACCGCCTTCAAGCTGTGAAAACTCTGCAACATTTTGAATCGAATGCGTACGGCACTAAGGCGGGAACCGCATTTTGAAGACCATCCGCGTTCAATACGTGAAATTCTTGCAACGGTGTGTAGTGAAATTGCGCGGCGCTCAGGCGAGCGTCACATTTTGAGAACCACCCGCCCTCCATCTGTGAAGCTGTTGCCAAGTGTTAAGCTTCAGGGTCATAAGCGGTGAGGAATTCTCACGCGAATCGCCCAGCCCGCCCGAAACTTTCACCTCGGGATGCGACAGAGAGAAATTTTCTACAAGGAAGAGGAGTGGAGGCGGATGAGGAGAAGGAGGAAGAGGACGAGGATAATGAAAAGGAGGAGGTGGAGGAGGACCTCCTCATCCTCCCTTCTCCCCCGTCCTACCTATGGTCGCGGTGGTGGAGAATCGGCCCATCATGAGATCTTGGCGTCGCAGTGTGTTGGCAGTGGGCGTGTTTTGCTTTGTTTCGGGACATGGGGCTTTATCAGATCGTTCTGGCTCTAGACATGCAGCAAGAAGACGGGTTCCGGGCTCGGGTCATTATGTTTCACGATGCCACATGTTCTCTGTGACGTCGGATCGAGGAGAAGGAGGAGGAGGAGGAGGAGGGGGAGAAGGAGTGCCCACCCCATTCTCCCTCCCGTTGAATTGACCAGGCCCCACCAAGAACATCCAGAGCCGTTGAACCCCTTCAGATTGTCGCTCCGCTTCCTCCCGTAGCCAGGTGGGAGGCAACGGCCGCTGGAGGCAGAAGAGAGCGAAGGAGCAGTGGATCCTCGACCAGGCCGAGGCGGAGAAGCAGCGGCGGGAGCAGCAGATCCTCGAGGTGTCTTTTGTCCCCCTTCCTCCTTCGTCACTTACTATTCGTTCCTCCGCCCTTCCTCATTTTTTCCCATGTTCGTGCCAACGCGGCATCGATTTGTGCACGGCGTGATCACCACGAGCGCTCCTCTTTGAATCATTACACTTGCTGCCATGATCGAAGACGCCTACAGTGAAGCACCGCCACCCCCGCGGGTCATGAAACGCGAGAAGTGGTCGATGTTTGGAACAACGCACGTGTGCTCCCCCAGCAGTTGTGGAAGCCTTTTGGGGAGCACACAAGGGAACATGAGAGGGGTAGGCGAAGCGTAGCCCATATTCGTTCTCGCGGGGGCCTCCCAGAAGTTGCTTCCCGAGCTTCCTCAGAGCCGTGCCTCCCGCTCAGTCCTCCGACGCCGTGTTTTTCCCAACCATCCTGTGGTGTTGGGTCCTCGTTTTGAAGAGACGGTGCCCCGCGTCTCCTTCCTTCCTCCCGCTGCCCCCTCCCACACCCATTCTGGCACACCCCTCACACGTTTTGTGGCCCCATAAGGAGCTCCACCGAAGGCCCCAGTGGCTGCGCCCGCATGCGGTTCCACCCCCCATTCTGGCACACCCCTCACACGTTTCGTGGCCCCATAGGGAGCTCCACCGAAGGCCCCAGTGGCTGCGCCCGCATGCGGTTCCACCCCCCATTCTGGCACACCCCTCACACGTTTCGTGGCCCCATAGGGAGCTCCACCGAAGGCCCCAGTGGCTGCGCCCGCATGCGGTTCCACCCCCCATTCTGGCACACCCCTCACACGTTTCGTGGCCCCATAGGGAGCTCCACCGAAGGCCCCAGTGGCTGCGCCCGCATGCGGTTCCACCCCCCATTCTGGCACACCCCTCACACGTTTCGTGGCCCCATAGGGAGCTCCACCGAAGGCCCCAGTGGCTGCGCCCGCATGCGGTTCCACCCCCCATTCTGGCACACCCCTCACACGTTTCGTGGCCCCATAGGGAGCTCCACCGAAGGCCCCAGTGGCTGCGCCCGCATGCGGTTCCACCCCCCATTCTGGCACACCCCTCACACGTTTCGTGGCCCCATAGGGAGCTCCACCGAAGGCCCCAGTCGCATGCGGTTCATTCTGGCACACCCCTCACACGTTTCGTGGCCCCATAGGGAGCTCCACCGAAGGCCCCAGTGGCTGCGCCCGCATGCGGTTCCACCCCCCATTCTGGCACACCCCTCACACGATAGGGAGCTCAGTGGCTGCGGCATGCGGCTGGCACCCCTCACACGTTTCGTGGGGAGCTCCACCGAAGGCCCCAGTGGCTGCGCCCGCATGCGGTTCCACCCCCAATCTGGCATACCCCTCACACGTTTCGTGGCCCCATAGGGAACTCCACCGAAGGCCCCAGTGGCTGCGCCCGCATGCGGTTCCACCCCCCATTCTGGCACACCCCTCACACGCTTCGTGGCCCCATAGGGAGCTCCACCGAGCGCCCCGGTGGCTGCGCTCGCATGCGGTTCCACCCCCCATTCTGGCACACCCCTCACACGCTTCGTGGCCCCATAGGGAGCTCCACCGAACGCCCCAGTGGCTGCGCTCGCATGCGGTTCCACCCACCCATTTCGGCACACCCCTCACTCGTTTCGTGGCCCGGGGGCGCCACCGAGGAATATATCCACAATTGCGGTATTCACAACTACGTATGGTTGGGTCTTTCGTCAGACTAATTTTTTGCTCACAGCGTGGACCCGAGGAAGGTTCCCGCCGATTCCCAGGGCCAGTTTTCATGCCGAGACAGGCAAACCGCACAGTAAGGATGGGCAGCCTTCCCACAGGGTACCCTTGCATCCTTGCATCCTTGCCTCTTCGGCCCATCCTCGGCGACTTTCACTCGTCAACCTCGCTCGAAAACGTTACCTCGAGACTCCTTGCATCCTTGCAGCGCATCCCTATGATACGGGTCGATTGTAGCTGTTTTTTGTTGCCAGCGGGGGCCCTGCGAGGGCTCCCGCGGGCAGAGCATTCTACCCGAACGTCGTTAAAAAGATTGACGACTTCTGCCGCCGTCGCGCTGAAGTGGCCGCGAAGTGCTCCAACTTTGAGGGAGATCTCTGGAACTACTTGGATGTACCTGGATTGATCTCCATCTACCTGGAATTACCTCGATTTGCCTGCATCTACCTGGGTTTATCTGGCTCGATCCCCACAAGGCGATTGACGGAAAGTCGACAAGCCCTTGGGGAGAGCGGCATTGCCGTGATTTTCTTGCGGCACGCGCACGGCTTCCTCCTCCTTCTCCTCCTCCTCCTCCTTCTCCTCCTCCTCCTCCCCTTTCTCATTTTCCTCTTCCTCCTCCTCCTCCTCCTCCTCCTCCTCCTCCTCCTCCTCCCCCTCCGTGGCCATTTTGGCTCAAGATGCTTTTTCCCCGGGGAAAAAACGGATACCGCTAGTCCGCGGCCAGTTCCAACCAATTCTTGCCAGTGCCTGATTCGCCTCTGGTCCCTGGGCGGCTCCTGCCGCCAATGTGAGCACGCGCGCGACGTGGCTTGTGGTTCTGTGGTCGGCCTCGCTGTACCTCCTTGGTGCAGGCGAGGGACCATGGCGCCTGGCGGCCGCGTCGAGCCCACGCCCGATTGGTACTGCAAGTTCTGCACATAAGAACGCTGGCCCAAGCTCGGGATGCCATGTGTCACCTTTGGGGCGACGAAGCAGTGCCACTTGTGCGGGGTCGACAAGTCTGCGGCCTTCCTCGGGAGGGCTTGCGGGGAGGGAGGGGTCTCCCGCCGCCGCCAGCCGAACGGCCCAGGAGCCGCAGGTGGACCTGGTGGTGGGTCTGGGCCGAGCTACTTGCAGGTCGCCCAAGGGGTCCATGCAGAAGGAGTTGGCGAGGCTGCGGGGGGAGGTCAAAGCGTTGCGGGCTGCGAGCAAGGCCAAGCGCCATCTGTCCAGGGCGGCGAAGGCCAGTGAGGAGGAAGATGCTGACGAGGCCTGAAGCAAGGCCCTGGCGCAGTTCGATGAGGAGTTGGGGAGCCTGCGAGCCACCTCGTCGCCGCCGCAGTTGGTCAGGGACACGATTGACAGTCCGGATGAGCAGAGGAGGCCCGCTCGAAGAAGCCTGTCCTCACCCAGCTGCTGGCGCCGAAAAGGAAACCCAAGGCGAGGCAAGATGCGATCGTCAAGCAAGAAGGGGTGGTCGCCAAAGCCGAGGAGGTGGTCACCCATGCCCAGAAGGCGCTCGAGGACGAGCGCGAGCGCGGCAAGGCACTGCGAGTGGAGGGGTTGGATATGGAGGCGAAGATGCGGGACCTCAACGCCGTGTCCCCCAAGCCGCCAGACGAGAAGAAGACCCCGTGGAGAGGGGCCCCGACCTCAACTTGGTGGGCCTGGAGGCGCTGCTCAAGGAGGTCGGCGCCCCGGGCGGGGTCACGGAGCGCGTCCTGGGCCACCCGGAGCTCGCCGAGAAGGTGCTGGCCCAGCCAGCTGCGGTGGAGCGTGCTCGGCCTGTTCCTGATGGTGCTCCTGGCTGGGCTGGCGGGAAGGCGCCCGACCCCTAGCGTCTCGAGTGCGCCGCTGGCGAGGCGCCCATCGAGATGTTGCGGGCCAGCCTCAGCGAGGCGGAGGTGGATGTCCCTGCTGACGAGCGCGCCATCAGGACCATGGCGCACAAGATGGCCTGCAGGGCGTATTACGGCAAGAAGTTGCATGATGAAGATTGTCTGTATCGGTGTAATGAAGGTGGCGGAGGCTACAGCATCAGGAAGTATGACTGGCGGTTCGGGTACCGTCGCGGGCACGTTGACCACGGTCTACGTTTCGTTTGGGCGAGGGCTGGCGGAGTACCTCGCCGACGCCCCTGACGGGGACCTGTTCACGGTGCAGGAACACAGGGCCCTCGGTGACAAGTTGAGCTCATTGCAGGGCCAGGTGCGCGACCTGGGCTACCACGAGTTGTGGGCCCCAGGGCAGGCCACGGGCGAGGGGGCGCTCGAGGTGTCAGGTGGGGTGGCGCTCCTCGCGCGCAATGTCATCGCGGTCTTTACGCCGCCCTTCGTGCCGTCTCCCATCCTGGAGGAGCGAGGATGCTAGCGGGCTGCGTCCACTTGGGAGCGAGGGGTGGCCTGATCGTCGTCGTCGCGCACCTGAGGCACGCAGCCGGCATGGTCGGCGACAAAGGCGACACCGTCGACGAGCTGAGGTCCTACCTCCGCGTGCTCAGCGCGCGTGGGCTTGACGGCCTTGGGGGAACATGGATAGCGACGAGCTTAAGGGTCCGTGGCTCGAGGGGGTGCGTGGCCCCCCCGCTGTGCCGTTTGAGCCGACCTGCTGGCAGGCAGTTGAGGGCCCCACCCTGGGCAACGCCATCGCGGCCGCGAACCTCGACCCCTGGCTGAGCGAGGCGCGAGCCACCACCGACGCGGCGCTGTGCCCGCGCCACCCAGGCCGCGTTGACGTCTCCACGGTGGACCGCGAGGCCTGAGCGCGGGTTGCAGCAGAGCCGCGTGGGTTCGCGGCGGTGGCGGCAGCGGGGGCGGCACCCTATCCTCGCGAGCACATGTGGGTGAGGGCGCTCCAACAGGTCCTCAATGTGTCTGGTTCCAGCGGGCCGGGGCGGGCCTGGGGCGCAGTGGTCAGCCCGGCGGAGGCCGAGCTCTGTGATCGGTAGTACTTGGTGGGCGAGGAGAGGAGGCATCGCATGGGCAGAGGGCGCGAGGCCGCCGTCAAGCTCGCCCAGCCCAAGTGGCAGCCGCCCCGCAAGAGCAAGCTCCACGACCCGAAGGTGAGTGCGCACATGGTGGCGTCGCGGTGGGCGAGGCACCTGGGCGCTAGTCGCAGTCGCCTCATCGAGCTGCCGGGCACTGCTGGGACGGGCGAAGTCCCGAAGGGCATATGGGGGCATGGGTTCAGCCCGTGGAAGTCGCGCCCCTGCGCCCGCATGCTCGACGGCCCCGGGGTTGGCAGTTTCGCCGAGGTTGTCGCCCAATACTTCCCCAGATGGCCGGGGATTTGTCTCCACTGGGCTTGGGGCAGC